ATGCATACTGCATTCACGATGGGCTGCAGCCAAATCGCAGACTTGCAACACACCCCCGCTCTTGCTTGCTGCTCCACTGACATCATATTTGTCTTCTATAAACTCCACCAGGTTTCTGTGTGGAAGTATTTTTGATAATCAGTTTATTTGGTAACAAACTTTCTCATTCACAGGTTGAGCTGCATGTGCACCTGGATGGAGCCATCAGGGTGCAGACCATTATGGATGTTGCCAAGTGAGTTAATATATTTAAATTGTATTAGTTTTTTATTATTGACGTTTAGATATTAACTGTCATGGTAGGTATTTTGGATGATACAGGCCAAAGAAAATTCTCCAGCTTTATTTTCAAAAGGCATTTGGCCCATTAGGAATTATGTTTTGGGAAATTGTAATATGGAGCGTGAACTAGGATGCCAGAACGTTTTTTACATGGTACCAAAATCACTGACTCTTGATACCGTTTTTATTGGTGAAAATAAACTCCTTTATTAGAAAGTAGTTTCAAATTACTGATATGGTCAAGGTAGACCATTGAGTTAAAATCGTAACATTATATTTTGTTGACAGGCCACAGACTGAAATTAGGATGGTTGTCGAGTCGCCTTCTAACATTACTGCACGGTGTAATGCAGGAGTGAGCAACTCCAGCCCTCGAGGGCCGGTGTCCTGCAGGTTTTAGATATCACCCTGGCTCAACACACCTGAATCACATGATTAGTTCATTACTAAGCCTCTGGAGAACTTCAGGACATGTTGAGGAGGTCATTTAGCCATTTGAATCAGCTGTGTTGGATCAAGGACACATCTAAAACCTGCATGACACTGGCCCTCGAGTCCTGGAGTTACCCACCTCTGGTATAATATTAATTGCATTATATTAGCGTGAGCATTTAGCTGTTGCAAACATGGAGCATAGTTGATTTCATCATGTCACTGCCTGCTGTCTCAAAAAAGAGGTAACTTGTATTTGAGGAAAACATCAAAAGGTATTTTTATGCCTGTCTGTAACTTCCTTTCTTATCAGTGAGTCAGGGTGGAGTTGTTGTCAGAGCTGCTCTCTAGTCGCCATCTTTCTAGTGTAGTTTTTGCAGTGGCTTGTGGGCATTTTTCTTCTTCAGCATGTGAGGGTATTACCAAAACATTGGTAGGTGTACGCTGTCTATGTCAATTCTGAACAATGTGAGCCTCGGTCATGCCTAGTGTAGATTCATTTAAGAAAAAAAATGCTACAGCAGCAGTTGTGTTATTTTCAAAGAGAATAAGTGCAGAGCAAAATTGGTAATTTCTTAGCTTTATTGTTAGAGGCCCATACTCACTGACATCAAACACACAAGGTAGCAGTGCCCTGAATCTTAACTACTTTGAAATTTTTAAATTCCAACCAGAGGAGCCGACTGCTGGCAGTTTGAAAGAGTGGAGGTTTAAGTCACTTATGCAGTGGCTTTACATTTTATTTCGGGAGGC